TCCTCCTCCTCCTCCTCCTCCTTTTCCTCCTCCTCTCTTCTTTTCTCTTTCCCTCCCTTACTGGGGTTTGTCAATCGGCGGAAAACAAATGACCATCCTCATTACCAGCATAATCATCATCATCATCATCAGCGTCAGCATCAGCATCAGCATCAGCATCAGCATCATCATCATCATCATCATCATCATCATCATCATCAGCAGCAGCAGCATCAGCTTCATCCTCCTCATCAGCATCATCATCATCATCATCATCATCATCATCATCATCATCATCATCATCATCATCACCATCGTCATCATCATCATAATACCATCATGAATCACCGCCACCCCACCCCACCTGCACAATCATCATCATCACCAACATCATTATTATCATAATCATCGCCACCGTCATCGTCATCAACCTCATCCTCACTTCAGTGAAGCATTCGAGCGTGAAGCATCCGAGCGAGAAGCACTCTAGCATGTAGCGGGCACGAAGAGGAGGAGCGGGAGCGAACGATTCTACGAAGGGTGCAGGGAGTCACACGCTTCGCATGTCAGCCGTACTCGTACTCGTCTAGGCGCGAGCTGTTGCGCAGGCCCGAGTGCTGAACTGCACCGCAACGGCCCCTCGCAAGCCGACTGGAGATTCAGGCTCGGAGAGAACCATCTATACCCGCTAGGAGTTCTGGAGAGAGTGCGTCGCCTCGGTCATTGCGTGGACTTACCTGCTCATTTGCTTCGTGGCAGCTGCGGCAAAAACAGCATGCCGCTTCAGGTTCCCGCGGCTGGTTCCCAGGGCCTTGTCAGTAGTGGGAGATATCTCAGCGCGCCTCTTAGCGCGCCGGTCGTTCACGTGATTCGCAGTCCTTCTCGGCAGTGCCTTCCAGGAATCTCTGCATGGTCGTGGTCGCAACGGCAAGCAGACCGCATTGATTTCCTGGCCCATGCAGTTCACATGGTCCTCAAAGGCATTTTTCCAAATGGGCATCGCACTGCTCGGGTTCGTGAAGCTCCGCACGCGCGCGCGCGTAACTACTGGTCTTAGCTTGGACCAGCATGGGGGCCGCTCGGCTACGCCGGGTACTCAGGCTGTCAAAACAGCCTCGGTGGGCCACGCGAGCATTGAAGGCGCGCCCCTTCTTGCACGACGTCCGCTTCGACGACAGTCTGGGCGCGGTGGCAGAAGGCGGAAGCAGATACCCTTGCTCCAGACCCTGGCCGTGCCGCAGTTTACTCCTTCACTCTGGCACCTACATTAGCGAAACCACGTTGCGTTGTTCAGCGCCGACGGGGCTCACGCTTGGGTTGGCGGCACGGGCAGCATAGCATCTCTTGTCATCTCCTTCTTCCACCGCCCAGGGACAGAGGTCTCAAGCGATGCACTGCGGTCCGCCACTCAATGGACTCAGAGCGTTTCTAATGAAACGAACAATGACAAAAATATAAAAACTCGGAGGTCCGCGCGGACTTCTCGGATCCGCGGTGGACGCCCCTGGCGGCGCCTCCGGCGCCGCCCCTGGCGCGCTCCGCGCGCCAGGGAGGGAGGTCCAGCGCGGATCCGAGCAATCCGCGCGGACCTCAGAGTTTCCATGCTGATGCCATGTTTCGCTTCCCCAGTTCCATCTCCATCGCTTCGCGCGAATCCGACGCACGAGCTCCGGCCATAGAGTCGCGCTTGCTCGCAAGTGGAGCGGCCGCGCGCCAGCTGCGGGCGGGGGGGGCGCCCCTTCCCTCGCTGCCGCCGGCGAGGCCTGGCCGGGGCGCCGCGGGCGCAGCTGGACTGCGGAAAAGCGTTCGGAGGAGCGGGCCTCTGACTGCGACCAGACCACCCCCGCCTGACCCGAAAGCCCGAATTTCGGGTGGGTGGGGAGGATACGGGCCTCACACGTGCTTTCTCAAGGTTCCCCGACCCCCCCCCCCTCCCCACACTGGCAGTGGAGGGCAGATTGCGGCCTTCGGGTTGGGTTGGGGTGGTTTGGTGGGTGGTGACGTTTGGAGAAGCAGACCTCCCCTCCACCGCCCCCCTGTGTCGTCTTCCCCCGTCTCTCGGCCCCGTTCTCGCAAGCGTACCCAAGCTCCGCCGGCGGCCCCGCCTGGCCACGCAGCGTGCTCGTGACTGCAGGCTTGCGCGTTCCACCACTTGCGCGCGCGCCGCTAGCACTAGATCGGGCATGTCCTCCGACAGGCCGGCTTTGGAAGAAACATCAAAGACAATTAAAAATTACTCTGGTATAAACAGAGGTGGTCGAACAAATCGTCCCCAGAGTATGCTTTTACTACTTCTGAAGATTCCTCCTGTCGAGGGGCGTGCCCGACGTCACGCTGGCAGTCCCGACCGCCCCCCTGGGATGGGGGGCGGGTTCCACCAGGAGGCCGCATGCGAACCCTACCCCACCTCCCCCCTTAGAAATCGTAGGGTGGTGGGGCAGGGTTCGAATTTGGCCTCCCCTCCACCACTTGCGCGCGCGCCGCTAGCAGCCTCGACAGCCCCCCTGATATGGGGGGCGGGGAACAACACCTCGCCTGCTGCACGGCCACGGCCAGATCCATGGCCGGAGGCGCTGCGGGCAGCGGGGCGCCGCAGGCCAAGGCTCGCGCGACGCTGCAACGGGTCCTGCGTAGGATGCCGCTTTCCCCCGCTTCTCTCGGGGGCGCGCAAACGTGGATTAGCGATCCATGGATTTGGCGCGCGGTCGCCAAATCCATGGATCGGGGGAGGCGCCCTCCCCAGAATGCGGCCGGTGCCGCCTCGTTCGGCGGCGGAAATGCGCGGGCTCCCGTGGAAACGAGACCCGCCGCTAATCCACGCCCCCTTGACCCATGTTGGCGATCGCCTGAGCTTCTCGCGAAGCCATTTCGCGCGAATCCTGCCTCGACGGGCCGATTCGGGCAACTTCGCAGGGTGGCGAGAAAAGCATTGCA